CGTTCACAACCAGGACTGGTTGACTCATTCATCTACCACTTCTCCTTTGGGGCGCGAAGCCGAACACTTCGATTTGGTCAACAACCTGAGCCAACTAGTTGACCTCCCCACACGTGTCTCTGATCGCGCGGGCGATCGTGCCCACACAGTCGATCTAATTCTCACTCCGGCCCCCTCTTCTCAGATATTCGTACCCTCCCTGATCTCGGCTCATCAGATCACTGTATTGTTTCCTGCTCCATTCGATTTTCAAACTGTGAACTCCCACCCACCTCGAGACACACATTCTGGCGCTGCAGCTCAGCCTACTGGGACGGTTTCCGTGATTTCCTAGCGGATTATCCCTGGAACAAGTGTTGTTTCTCTTCGGATGTTTGCAAATCCGTTTCCAACTTCACCCACTTTGTTCTTCAAGGAATGCATCTTTGTATTTTGCACTTTTCCAAAAGCGGCAAACCCAAATCTCCTGAGTGGTTTAACCATACATCATGCGACCGTGCTGTACGCCTTAAACGTTCAGCCTTCCGCCGCTGGCGCCGCTTGCCCACTCCTCTCTCTCGCCATCGCTTCGCGCAAGTTATGAAAAGATACTCGATGACCATTCAGAGAAGCAAAGAGCGCTTCGTTCGCCGTAAAGCCGAAAACTTGATCTCTTCCGCCACCGGTAGCCAAACATTTTAGTCCCTTGCCAAAGCAGTTTCCCGTAATTTCGGCCCTTCCAACTTGCCCCCTATCTGTAATTCCTCTCGTGATCTTGTATGTCAACCACACGAGAAAGCTGAGGTTTTTGCTTCTCAGTTTGCCGCCAATTCCACCTTACCCCATTTTGCTACACCTCCACTTTCTTCTTTTACTGGCAACCCTTTTCTGCCTCATATCAGCACCAGGAAAATCCACCAAACATTGTGCTCTCTAAACGCAAATAAACCACCCGGTCCTGGACGGTATTCCACCCATCGTCCTCAAAATGTGTGCTCCCGAGCTGGCCCCTGTTTTCCGTTGTCTTTTCCGTCTTTCCCTCCAACTTTCTTCCTTTCCAACACCCTGGAAACACGCCGTAATTTTTCCCAATCCCAAACGCCGTGATCCTTCTAACCCCAATAACTATCGACCCATTTCCCTCACATCTGTTCTTTCGAAAGTAATTGAATCTATCATTTCTGACCAGCTATGCACGTTCCTTGAACGCAAAGGATTACTGAGCGACCGCTAGTATGGCTTTCGACCGCGCAGCTCCACCGGTAACCTTCTGGCTCTTGTCTCTCAATCCTGATCAGTTCCACCCGATAACCACAGTGAAACACACTTGGTCTCGCTTGATATCTCAGAGGCCTTCGACCGAGTTTGGCACGAAGGTCTACTGGCGAAACTACCCATGTTCGGGTTCCCCTCGGCGCTCGTAGCGTGGGTATTAAGTTTCCTCAGTGAGCGAACCATCTCCGTCCGAGTTGATGGGGTTCTATCCCAGCCATTCCCTGTGAACGCTGGTGTTCCCCAAGGTTCAGTACTTGCGCCCACCCTCTTTCTTCTATTTATCAATGATCTCCTTTCCCAAACTACCAACCCGATCCATTCTTCTGCTGATGATGCCACCCTCCACTGCTCTCCTGTGACACTGCTCGCCATGCCCAAAACAACATCGATGTTGACCGTAGTGCAGTTACTGCGTCACTGGACTCCGATCTCGAACACATCTCCTCGTGGGGCATTGCAAACCACGTTTCGTTCAATAGTTCCAAAACATCTCTTCTTTCAATTTCTCTAAAACACCATTCATTCTCCCCCTATTTATGTTTTGATTCCACCCAACTGCTTTCCACAGACTCTGTTTCCCTTCTTGGACTGCCTATAACTTCTTCTTTATGCTGGTCCCCTTTCATAGCTAAGTTTGCATCTCGTGCTGCGCGCAAGGTCGGATTTCTTTTTCGCGCCAGACGTTTTTTTCATCCCAGCTCATCTTTTTCTACTGTACGAAGCTCAAATCTGCCCTGATCTTGAATACTGTGGTCACGTGTGGGGTGGGGCTTCGTCTTCTTCCCTTTCCCTTCTTGATCGTGTTCAACGAAAGGCCATCCGGCTAATCGACGATCCTTCCCTAACATCCAGTATACAGTCGCTAGCTCATCGTCGGGCAGTTACTTCGTTGTCCCTCTTCTACCGTTACTACTTTGGATTTTGTTCTTCGGAACTTGCCTCGGCAGTTCCTCTTCCTGCAACTTTTACCCGTCCATCCGGTACACAGGCATGTAGTCATCCTTATCAGGTTTCTGTTCCCAGATGTCGTACCTCTCCACTTCAATCTGCTGTTTTCCCCAGAACTGCCAAATTGTGAAACACCCTCTCCCTTGTTGTTTTCCCCTTAACTTACAATCTTTACTCTTTTTAAACGCAGAATCAATAAACTGAACCTTACGTGAATGTTTTCCTACTCTCCCCTTTACAGTATGCTATTTGCTCATGGGGATTTCCCCGTTTACTGTAATTCACTTTGTGTAATAAAAAAATAACGCACCATCATTTCTCTTGAGGTTTATTAGTTTTAATTTGAAAAACAGTCTACTCGGCCTTTGAGGATAAGTATAATTACAGTTTGGAATGTATATATTTAGTTAATTTTAAAATAAACACTATGATCGGAAATTGATTTTATGTGTTCTAGGAAATAAGTGAAAGTACAAATATGCAGTTTCGTTCCGCATGCAGAAGTCATATATGTATAATAGAATACATTATAAGTGAAAGTGAAGCTCAATCTATGATAGATATAATGATTCGTGCGCTCGATACATTAGTAAAGGACTGAGATGCCTGCATCTTGTATGAATCCTCCCGCACAAGATGCATGATATACGTGTGTTTCTAATGTGATGCAGATTTAGCATGCATTCAGAGGGTCCATTAAGCTGACTCACCGCGTACTGAAGTTTGTGAATTCAATGTGCATGTACACTTCTCAAATGCTCAGGAGAACAATCCCCTTGGTTGATTTGTAAACCTCTAGAATGGTGTTACGTTGAATTGAAAATCCATTCCATAGGGTACATAAAGCCTTACGTGACTCGACTTGTCTGTGGATTTCGTAAAAATATTATAATCGCTTGTGTGCACGTGAAAACCAGTTCCTTTTCTTGTGTTTCGGTGATACTCAGTTCGAAGAAACTTGCTTGCACTTGCATCTCTTGTTTTTGTATCTCGCCCAGGTCTTGTTTGACGAATGTGTCCCATCAACTCACTATTCATAAACAAATTTTAATCATCCGAAAAATGCACTGTATCACCAATATCCTTCTTATTTAAGCCTGTATCGAGTGATTCAGAATCGCTCGAGAATATTTGTCAGCTCAACAAAACTGATCACCACTGAAACAAATCTTTTCCAGGGCTCTTTTATTTATTCTTGGTTTGGTTGTCTGTTTACGTACAAACGTTCTCCTGTAGGTTAGAGCCACGATCATCAAAATTTTTAGTTGTATTCATATTGTCTGTGGAACCAAAGTAATGTTGGTCAAAATTATTCAGTTTTCACACGACTTTCTCCGGATGATCAGAGATGATTATTGTATCTGGTCGTTTTGTACCTTGAGCGGATTTTGATCGTCACACAGTGTTTCAAGTGAAGCGTTTGTTCAAATCCAATATCTTTGCTCTTCAAGCAATCTCCTAATCTCCGGAATTTATAAATAATTTACGTCGTGATATGTTTCCTGCCAAAAATTACTCCCCCATCCCCCAGGATCTTCTCTCTATGCCGTGTCTGTCTTCATTAATTTTCTCTCTCAACTATACGTTCTCTGTCTCAAAGCGAAAACGGTGTGATCTGTTAGACCTGAGTGAAAATATATAATATCATCAATTGAGCATAACCATGCTACAGGCAAGTGGCTCTACAATGCCAAAGGTAGTGAGTGTTCTTATTGAGCTCCAGTTCTTCCACTTATGTCACTCAGACCACACTGGCAGTCAATAAACACGCAACCTGGGGTTCGTCACTAAAGCTCATCACATTTACTGCAAGTTAGACAAAAAGAATGCCATGTAATATAAGTGGAAGCAAATCACTTGTTCTGAGCTAGTTTTGTTCTAATTTCCTATATATTATCCCTTCAAACCAGCTCGATAACTGCACCCAGAATTTTTGAAATCACCAATGTACATCACTGTCTGTTTTATTATTATTGTTATTATTATAATTATTACTATTACTAAGGAGTTTCATCAAGCCAGCACGACACATTTTTGGCTTGTAACCCAATTTTTTGTAGATGAAATAAGCCTACCCGACTTTGATTTCCAATGTGGGGTGATGAACATGTCGGATAAGGAGAAAATACCAAATTTTCCCGTTTGTAAAAACGATCTCGGAGCGTACGGTTGTTAGTAAAGTTAGGCTATTCTTCCTTCCCAAGAAGATACCATTTTGAAACTCGAATTACTGCATTCACAACAACTCAAAATTAACTCAACATCACACTACCGAATGCACATATCCCCTTGAAATCATCCTATCTACTAAGAACCTTGATCATTCCTGTTACTGGGACACATCCATTGTGACATTTTGACAGGTCACGTCAGCTTTCCACATGATACCCGTTATCCAGCAGAATCTATTTCTGGATTCTTCTCTCTCCTCTCCTGTCCATTGAAATCAACCCGGAGACGGGAGAAATGAACCCTAAGACTGGTTACCGCCAGCTAGAGAAATCAATATGCACGCGAATCAGGTTTGAGATCAACAGCATAAATCTGTTGTGCACCAAAACCCTTGTCAGGACTCTCAAGTTGTTGCGAACTGTGCAACAATCTACAGAAAGTTTGCGGCCAAAGTACAAACCTCGTTTGTGACTCAAGTCACAGCAGCAGAGTTAAACTACATGACATACATGACATGACAATTAAAACTGTTTGAGAAATGAGTCACATTCAATTGGTTGAATAAATCACAATCCTTCATCTAAACAAAGTACCAGCGCCTGTTGGACTTCGAAAACTACTCTACAGTAAAAATTTGTATCTGAGTTATTTAGTTCACTCGTCTCCCTGTTCAACAAATTTATCCATAAATAGAGAATGAAAAAAGTTTCAAAATCTGTGCACATTAACCCACTTCAATCCACAAAACACGTTCACCGATTTCCATCTATTTTGCCTGTAGATTGAATTCATATCAAACTTCAAATTTTACGACATTATCCAGTTAGCCTTTTAGCGCAAACGATCTAATTTGGATGGTGTCGTTCATCTCATTTGCTCAGTTTTGTCCCAATTATCCTCTTCGCTACAAGGTGTCAGGCTACTCCAACCGTCCCACGTATGAATGAAATACTACTATCAATTTGCTCTCCAATCCAGGAACACAATCTCATGCTCTGAGAACATTCAATATCGGATTTAGTCACTTATAGTCGGAAGAAATCTCTTCAATTCTTGCAAACATATCCACCGCAGAACTTTGTTCAGTAGGACTCAACCAGAGAATTCCACACCAGTCAAACATCCATTCCAACCCTGTTGATTAGGAATGAAAACATGCTGTTGCAGGTCAATACAACAACAATAATCGAATCTGTCGCTTCTTGCTTACCGAAATACTTGTTGCACCTGTCTCCGTGGAGGCTGAAATTACAAGAATACTCCATTGACCAGCATTTTTTCCAGTCCTGAAGAAAAGCTTTACTTACATGAAATGCTTTCTTGTTGAACTGCAGTGCTTTTAATGGTCGAATATCCCACCGTCCACAATGAGGAACATGCCTTTTTCGCGGTGATTAAACAAACTGCTTGACTTGTAGGAGTGATATATAATTATACATATGCCTGTCAGAAATTGATCCCTTTCCGACATTATGGTGTGTGAAGATGTGAAGAACAATTGGAATAAACATCTCAATCGCACAGGAATTACAAATTAGGCTAAGGTTAAAGTGACGGCAGGCAATCGGGACTAACCAGTTACTTCTGACCGCAAATCGCAGGGGGAAGTATCCTGTCGATTGTTTTCTTCCCAGTATTTTCACAATAGTGTGGTATGGAAACGTCTTATATTCCTCCTCCTCCTCATAATCGCCATCATCATCACCATCCAAATCATCATCATCATCATCATCATCATCATCATCATCATCATCATCACCATCATCACCATCATCATCATTACCTTTTTCAAGTCATTGTAAATATTAATTTATATCAAACTGAAACTACCGAGCAAAAAACACAACAAGATATCTACTTTGTCGCATAGGTGAATTTCGGTTAGCGTTTATACGAGATAAAGTTTGGTGAAATCGGGAGCCCCTGTCGGGGGATGGAAACGACAAGATGTCAGTTCTACTTCTGAGTGAAGTTTTATCGCCAATTCTTTTCAGCGGTATTTATTCTAAGAATGTGTGATAAATGGCTCCGGTGACTATCATGTTTCTTCTCGGTTGTACGCTAACCGAGTTCACCTACCGTTTAGAAACGAGCCAAAACAAATGATTTCCTAATTCTGTTCCCATTTACAAGTATCATCATGTGCGCATCGGTAATGAAATACATTAACAACATATTATGACCAATTAGATTCAGTCGTTAAATTATCGTTGATCCGTGCCTGACAGTACACTCTCGCACACGTACGCATGCGCACACAATGCGCGCACATAAACACACACACACACACAACATGTGCGGTTTGCCAAGTAATTCTTGGATCATCTCGCACATGTACACACAAATGTTTACGTGAACTGAAGATCCTCTCTTATATTGAGGTTAGCTGGCTGCAATCAGCTGATGATTTACACAGGACATAATCAGCTGTTTACCTCTAACCAGTCCGAACACGAACAGCTGACTGCCGAGCACGAAACCGAACGTGCTAATTCACATCGGACACATACCAACAGATGTATGCACTTGCATACAAAAACGTACAGGCAAAAGGTAGAAAGAAAGAATGAACGGAACTCATTAATTGCGCAGGTGATGACGTAACTGATGAAACATTCATCAGTTGAATTGCAACTTGATGTGGAAAGCTGTCTAATTTAAAGTATGTGGGGTTTTCTATCCATTCGCACGATGTCACCGAGGTGCCGATTCCGAACACCAGTAAGACTGATTTATTTTCACCCGGTTGTATCATTTTTACACTCTCTAATAGTGAATTAGATGAATGTATTTTTTTCATGGATGTTTGTATGAAGTGACCCAGGTGAACTAAATTTGATGCGCATAAATTCTGTAGTACTGTTGAAGTGCGGACTATCTCAAAAGCGCATAAACTATCCCATCAGTATATTTGGTGAAGCAAATTAGCTGATTCACTCGGGCATCTGTCTGGATTTGGCAATGTTTGTTTAAGTAAGGAAGTGAATTTTTTTCAGGTGCTAATGAATTACAAGTCGTAAATGATGAAAACAAGACAAGAAGCCCAAGAACTTTTTTGAGGTCATTCACGATTTACGCTATCGTTCATTGCGTTGCCTACAGTTCAAACCATGGAAGTGCCTGTTCAATTTCCCTTGTTAACGGTCAAACATCAAGAGCACGCTGTATGACCTGAAAATAAAAGTCACGTGACTTGTGGAAATGACATGTGATATCATTCAATCGTGTCAATTGGGTCTACCAGTTTTGATGACCCAGTGACCGAAGTGGTTCAACTTGTTCAGCTGGTCGATGCACACACACACACACACACACACACACACACGCACACATACACAGTTACCGTGATCTGTATGTTTCGCCGAACACAATGATCGTCGAAAATTAATCGGTTTGGACTAATGCCAACGGAAAAAGTGAAATGTGTGATAGATCGTGTCATTTGTTATTTATTTGAAGGCAGCTTAATGACAAGTCTCTGTCGATTGTTTTTTTTCTCCTCACTAAGTTATCCTTCTTAACTTCCCCCAGATGATCAATACGAGATAGTGTTAAACCGAATTAACATCCAGCATGTTGATTAGATAGCGATTTGCAATGCTCATCTATCAAGTCTTCAAAAACAAGATCCAATGGTTGAGATGTGCATATTAAATATTGTTCGATATGATCAGTAATCTGCCTTACTGCACAAATATAAGACGGGGAGCTTAAGCAATGTGAAATCAGCCTCCTCTCAAAGGTAAATCGGCACTTGCTTATCTTCATCAAATCTGTTTTGTTTCCAACTGATTAATGATCGCCGATAATCATATTCTATTCCTTCATAAATCGATTTGTCGTCTTCCCACTGAATCCGGTCCATCTTCTGAATATTTGCTTTCACACGAGTTTTGCCCCATATAAATTAAAGCATTTTATCAAGGCACCGCGATTTGGCAGCATTGGGAATAATAAAGACAAGGAAAAATTCGCACTTTCACGCGTCTAAATTTCATTTGGTTGTCTCAGGATAATTAAATTAAATTAAATTTGATCAAATGTAGTAAATTTACTAATTTTAAACACATTTCATTTCAGACTGTGTGCCGAACAAATCGCAGTATAATAATGTTCATCAAAAATAAGAAGTGGCTTGTTGTCGCGATACTGTCAGGTGAATTTTCTTGGGGAATTCACAACCGGAGCTTTTGGCTTGCAAACGTGATCAGTAACCCAGTAACACTGTTGGTCGTTTACTGGCATCATTTAAAATCTGTTGTTCTTCGTCGCCTGTCCAATATTCGTCCGTACTCTGACCTAGATCTAACAATACGGCTTTCAGATAATTTTGCGTCGTGCTATGTAAAAAATGATCGGAAATGGGATCAGACTGTGACAGGTGATGAAAATATATTCTTAATCAAAACCGCTGGAACCATCAAGTAGCATGTCAGTGAGTGTAACCAGAAAACACCACCAAGTACCCAGGAACGAACGTAGAGAGCAATATACGGTGATTCTTCTAGATGTAAACCGCTCGGGGACCAGTACATCGCTTGTCTCCGAAGACGCGCAAGCCGAGAACGTGTAAAGTGAAATATGCACTTAGATGTACTTTTATTTATCAGTGCCACCAGGATGGTAGTGACACAGTGTACTTGGTCTTCTATGGTCCGATGTTCAAGCCCCGCCATCACCACTAATCTTTGACGGTAGGCATCTTGACTATTATCCATGCCTTTTCTAGTCTGGCCTTATGTGGTTCGACATTTCCAGTCCCGGGGCTTCGGTTACTGCTTTCCATCACTGAACACAAGGTCTTCGTGACTATGGGATTCAGCCCGCCTGCCGTCCACCACACAAAATGCGTGTAGTAAAAAAATCATACTTCTTTCTGTGGCTGGCTAATTCCCCTGGCCTACATTCCTGTTCATCATGGATTGACTGTTTTCCTCTTATTATCATTCACAGTCTGATCACAAAAATGAGGGAGGTCTTAGTCCGCGGTCATGTGAGAATTTAGCGTGTAAAACTCCTGACAAGTGCCGTCCATTTGCCCAATCCCGATTTGCTAACAGATTGTTCTCATGTGACAACCATGTAAAATTATCGGTGCATTGGGGCATCTTATACAAAAAATATGATGGTGTACCGATCTAAACACACATTTCGAACTGAAATGTAATCACTTTATTACGTACATACAACCTCATATTTTCATAGGAATTTCGGGGTATCACTAGATGGTTGAATGATTTCTGTTAGCTATTGAAGCCATTGATGCACTGGATCCAAATGTAATGTCCTTGAGGATGACTGCTCCGGATAGGTTAATTTTATGCTGTTTAGGGGTTCAGTCTGTCTGCAAGCTTCGCACGTGTTAACTTGGAAATTAATCCACGTGACGTCCACGAAAGAGTGTTTGCTACATTTACATTTAAGTTATCATTGAGGAAAAATACCATGCAATTTATTGCTAGGTGCATACATACTTACAGATTTTTCCAAACGATGGAGACAACGGAATGTTTGCAGGCAGCATAGACTGAGCTGAATGATATTAAGATATTGATCTATCTAACGCTGGACGCTTCAAAATGAACTTTTGCTGGTCGTCATATCGATCTCGCGTGGTTCCTCATCGAAACCATGATTTTAAAACAGTCCACCGAAGCATGCACGATACTTCTGCACAAAATTCACTAGCGTTACGGAGTACTCAACTAGTCGTCCCTCACCACACCATGTGTAACGAAATGACAAAAAACAACAACATTGATCACTGTTATTTCGGCGCGTACAAATCGAAATATATTTTGATCGGTTTACCCCCAGTGGGTAAGTAGGTATATGACCTTTAAACGAATGCATCATGCGTTCCGGATGCTATACAGCGTGCTTCCTTTGCACGATGACCACGTAGCTCATACAGCTCGGTCATCGTCGAACGTTCAAAGCCAGTCAAGATAGCGCGTCCCCAAATTGACTGCTACGATGTTATTGTATAAACAGTGCTTCCAATGACCTTAAGTGTGCGAGAGAGGGAGGGTATCGGTAGCACTGATGTGCTATCTCGTGCGATTTTGCATGTCTTCATGTTTGTGTCCGAGATGTGGATGGCGTGTTGGTGATTTCCGTAATCACACAGAGATACCCGCTTGCTCATACGGGCGTGTCATAACCGAGAATCCGGGCAATTTGCTAACGAAGTGGACCAAATACGTTTGTGTACTCACCACACACCATGGGATACCTATGATTTGTTTTTGGACAAAGTCACTCAACGCGACTACTCGCCAGGTTAGGGAAGGAGTCTAATTTTGGATTGTTTATACTGTCTATTCTATAGTACATCGGTTAACGCCACGTTTCAGTAGTGCTTACTATCGTAAGCAGTGTTATGTGTAGCTTTTGGAACAGGTTTAGCCTTTTTATCCGTTGATCTGTCTGTGTTGTTCGTCTGCGGTTGTTGGGGTTGTTCGGACCAGAATGTTTGGTATCCTTTTCAGAAATAAACGAAATCAGAGTCCAATGTTGAATGTGTTTTTCGTGTTCCTTCCTTCCAGTGTTCCCAATCTGTGTTGCTCTCGGTCCGCATTTATCGATTAGACTTTGATTCACAGTAATCTTTCTTCACGTGAGCTGATTCGATGCGCCTACGTATTGTTCACCCGAATCTTATCTCATTCATCTCGGCCCTCCCCCCAATGCTAGCTCATGTTTGATCATATGAACTTGGATGACGGTGTGGTAAATGGCAGGTGTGGAACACAAGTCACTTCAGTCTAGAACAGTCGCAGCGCAGAATCCGTTTGTTGTAGCATTTTGATCATGTCAAATTCCTCTACGAAATCAGTTTGACTGTGAAACGGAATAGAAGGAAGAAGCATTCATAGACGGACAATCAAATCGCGGGATACATTGCTCATCAATACACGTTTCATCTGAATGAGTGAAAATAATTATTCTCGAAATATTACATTGCAGTTCACCTTGACAAAGTACTCTGTAAATGTGTATCGTCTTTTGAACCGTTCTGACGCCTCTTGGATTATGAAATTGAATGCGAAGCAATTAGTGGACTTACCTTTGTCCATCACGATCTATGCAATTGATGATGGTTTCGTTCCTAAAGGGGAATGTGCGTTTGAGATCATCCATAAACAACGGGAAAGCTTTTCCTTTGGACAACCAATCAAGATGGTCGTGCAAAAAGTCTGGTGATTTGACTGACGGTGAACAAATTTAGGATAAACCCTTGTAGGCATGAGCCATTAGACACCAGTGACTTGACCACCAACCCTTTGTTTGAAGCGCGAAAACGTGTTTTACTCAAAAAATTCCACGGTACATATCACGTAAAATAACGCGCCGCGTTCTATCACTTCTGGTAATAAAAAAAGACTATAAAACTTTTATTTTCTAACAGAATAACTGATATCTTTATCCTGAAGCGATTTGAGGAGTTGAGTGAGTAAGAACACGTGCCAGGTGGACTCCTAAAGAGATAGCAGCAGTCGAAGTGAGGATAAGAAAACGTATGCGCACAACTAAAAGTGCCTATAAAACGGCACATGTTGCATCATATGGTTTGAATGGCTAAAAGTTGCGATATCATAATTGAGACGATTTATCACTTTTCCCCTCATTCGACTGCCCAAATAGACGATAGAATGAGGATACAAAGCTCATATTTCTCTACTATCGATCAGCTATGTTTATACTGTAAAATGAAGAATTAATCATAGTTTTCGATGATCACACTGCCCGAAGAGTTTCACACCACTCGGTAACCTACTAAGTGACATGAAAAAAGTCTATCCTTTGCTCGCGTAAAGCTTAAAATGTTTTGATGTCCCTCATTGGGGTAATGGAACTAACGAGGACGGAATGTTTCATGCGGTCAAGATCAACTAACGTTAGGTGATTGAGACCCTCACCTGCAAAGGTTCCCTTTCGAATCTTCGAAGTTCTCGACTTTGTTGAATACTTCCTATGTGATTTGGTTTCCAACTGTTTGGTGACATTCATCTGCAAAATCGATTGGAGATTCATTCAGCGTTAAATATCAACAAATAAAATTGTGTCTTTCTGGGGATTTTAAAGAATTGAACACCATCCTGCTTTACTTTGTTTCTCTAGCAGATATTTGACCGCAATGGCGGCTGATGCTTCGGCTTGCTCCGAACTTACTTCAAGCTTTACTGACGAAATAATTACGTATAAATTCAAAGGATTTGCAGTGCGACAAGTGATATACAGGCATTGTACTCTGAACCAATCGGGAATCCTGGTATTTGCGTGAAACAAAATACCGGAGCAGACGCATATGTTCGTGTATTCGTGTAGTGCAAGTGTGGATGGAAATGCAGCCACAATGCGGATCCGATATGAGTGTGATGTGTGTGTGTGTGTGCGTGTGTGTGCACGGTAACCGAAACCTCGGGGAATATAATTCTCTACGGACATCGCTGTGTCATTAACATTATAACATTCATAATAAAACAACACATGGCGCATCGATCTTTTTATACATTCCTAACATCATTTGGTCCTGATGTATTTAGAATCGAAAAGGCATTATGAATGAAAAACTGAGGATTTTCAGAAACATACGAATCGCCGTAAAGTCTGCTTTGGGTATCTACCAGATAAGTTAGATACAGTAAGTGTTGTGGTCAACCTAATACCGGTTGGGTACAATGACCGTAGAACGAGAGAGTAAGCGGATGAGACAGGTGTTTATTCAGGCAACCGAAAAACCTAGTTTTGTGGATCAAACATAGTGACATAGGTGATCTTTAAACTGGACTTCACTCAGGCAAGATACATGTTCTAACTTGGTGAAAATCTCGATTCAGTATTTTTTCTCTGCGAATGCCCCTCTGAATTCGTTATTCCGGACTTGCTTTGTTCATTCAGTCCTTCCGAATGGCAGCGTGAAGTGGTACTCTTCAAACGGGGCATCCTGCTGTTGATCCAGAGTCCAGCAATTACGCATAATTACTGAAGCTTCTTTTCCGTCTTCTCTCGATAGGTTTGCGCCACCGAGTCGATCGACTCCTTCACTCGTTCCGATAATGCTCGCCTCTATAACCGCGTCTTAGGAGGTTAGGGTATGTCGTATGAATGCTTGATAAACGGTTGCTTTACCGTGCACTATTTGCAATGATTCCTCATGTTTTACCTCGAAAGGATTAATCGTCTTGACACAAACGACATGAGATGGTAAGGAATTTCAGACAGTGCACAATCTGATGGCGAAGGAATGACATGGACAGTCCAGTCGAGATTTTGGAGTAGTAACTTGAATGGATGTCCCCGTAGATGAACGTTTGATGACAACGTCAAAAGTCGACGACAAGGGTGGTTTGGGTTGTGTAATATTTGGTACACTAAAATCAAGTCTCCTCGAATTTGAAGATACTGAGCAGAGTATAGGTTCGATGACTGAAATCTCCCCATGTATGAATCGTAATAGAGTCCTTTGACCATCTTCGTGGCGAGCTTTTGTGGACGCTCCAAAATTTTATGATCACGTTGTAACCATGGCTTCCAGGTTTGGATGGCATACTCAATATGCGGCCGGAGGTATTATGACAGCAGACGTGAGAATAGCGATGGTTCAAAACGACCGAAAACACGTTTCAGTTGACCGACATGTTTGAGTGCTGTTGATGACGTCCTGTGCGATCCAGAAAATAAACNACGAAAAATCACAATTCAAAATGGCCTGCAGTAAACAAACAAAACATTTATTATTCCCCCACGTTGATTGTTTTGGTCTTCCCCGTTTCTGTTCCTGTATTTGTCGATAACCTATGGTTATATTGGCGCCGTATCTGGATAGATTGGTTTTATATATGTATATATATCTATTTATATGTAGTTGGAAAACCTTTGCCTAACGGGAATAACATGGCACAACAATTGACGTTCATGGTGTATTCGAGTGAACCAGAGTTTAGGAAAGGGAGATTCGTTGAACGTGGATTACGTCAGATGGCTGTGCATGGTCACTGAAGACCCGGGTTTTAGGCTCATAAATCTAGAATATTGTGACGGATCGCAGTTGCATTGGTCATTGATAAAATTTAGGACTTTATTCGGCGAGAGATAGAAAGAAAAGCCTTGAGAACACTGAGTGATAAAACTAAATCAATTGACTGATGAATACTTTCTCCTCGGCCCTGATTAGCTATTGACTCGGTCAATCTGTGTTGGTAGAAGTTTATGCGAACCGTCTGTTGTACGACTTGCACCGCAGTGGCGAGTTGGTTGGTGTGAACAGGACAATTGCACGTCCGTTGTTACCCCTCTCGTTTACTCTACAAGACGAAAACTCTTTTGTACTTCAATGAGACATTAAGTTCAGTCAGAAGAGAGAATTTATCTCAAGAGAATAATCCATTAAGACGAACGGATAACGCTTATTTTGATTCTCGAGTACATTTAAGGCATGTGCACCAACGAACATCTAACACGAAACGCTCACCTTCCATCGAATCCAGAAAACTGTGGGACCAGCTAACCGATGAATTCTATCTAGAGAAAAGTGTGCCCCCAATAAGTTCCGGGTTTATCGTCGGTCTAATCGTAAACACACTGGTCGCATAAAAGATAGAGTCTTTCGTCAAACCTTGAGGTTTGCCACCAGCAATCACAATCGGTGCAGCGGAACATTTCTCTAAAATTAGTACATATGATATCCTACTGACAGCACACTGGATCAATACATCACTTGGAGACATTCATCTTATATAGCTTCTATAAGAGGATAAATGGATATACCGTCGTCGTTTGCGCGATTAAAGTGATAAGAACCGAATTATTGGCAGCAGTTGAGAATTCGCCCCCTCTCCCTCTGGGAGTAGAACACTTATCTTTAGAAACTTGTCAGTTTAGAGAATCACAATTTTAAATTTCAACTAGGATGCACTTACGAGTGTTCACAAAAGGACTGTGGTTCGCTCGTTGGAGAAATGGGGTTCTTGAGAAAGAAATGGCATTATTCGTGAATAATTTCCCTAAATGATTTTCGAAAGAATGTGGCATTGTGTCTACAAATCAATTGGAATTTCGACATACTGGTTCTTGTAACACGAATGTGCCACTTTTACGTCGAGATTGGACAAAAGTAGTCGTCTTCCAAGCATCCAAAAGGCATCATGATCCAAATCGAACTACCCAAAACATCTGATAAGGAATCAGCAAATAACACTGTTCAAGCTTCAACAAGCCTCCAGGACTTCAGTTCTAGTTACTGGTTTGTAACTGAGTATTAGCGGTGTATTCCATGAGGTTTCGACAGAAAAACCGAGTTTGATCTTAACTGCACGCATTGGGTTGTATACTTCATTTCAGAGTATTTAATTGAAATAGTTTCACCGGTGACTCCATCAACAGAACTCTGACTCAAAGAATCAGGAGCAAACACACACACACACCGGACACCAAGCAGGTTTCGGAACCGCCAGCAGGACTACTCAGATCATCATTCGATAAAACAAACAAGAAACACCAAGTGACACAGTAAAAAGGTCGGGTCGTGACCTAAGAATGGACCAAGGCGCATAATCCAGAGGGAAGAACAATCGTCCATCCCCACCCATTCGCATTAGTTCAACGGTGAACCAGGTTTAATCCGGTATGAACAAGAGCCAACATTAATCGGTGGAAAAGAACCTATCTAAGTGAGTTGGTAAATGCAGAACAGTCACTTGACAAGCACTAAAGATATCATCACGGTCGGTGATGGGACATTTGCAAGCAAAATTCCAAAATTGTCGAATAGCGGAAAATATATTCATTTCACCCGAGATACGAGAACCGCTTTCCCGTACATCGTCAACTTCACTTCTAGGAAATTTTCTCCAGTTATTCACACACTACTCAATAGAAAAGCAGTGAAATTTTGCCCTGGTTTTCAGTTGACTGAGATTAGATGCATCTAACTCACAACATCTTATGCACGATCATCACAATAACTTTTCGAGGCTTGTTTGTCTCGGATCCACTCCCCGAGCTACAAATGAGATTCGTGTTGTATATTTATTGACTGTCTGATAAGCGGAAAAATTGCAGACGTTCGAAGATA